ACAACTCCATGGCTATAAAAGAGAAACAAGACCAAAAGACAACCAACAGTATACAAAACACAACAAAGAAAACTAAAGACTGAGCAACACGAACCCCACCAAAAAATTGGGGGGATATCATTAAGATATGCTTAGATTCCGTGTAACAGTAACATCATACATCAAAAACTCTTCAAAGATATCAGGCTGATAATTTGATACACAAGACGCGCGTTTAGTCTATATAAAAGAGCAATCAAATTTTAATTGTTAACAAACTCCATACAACTACTAGCAAACAAAATCTCAAATGCCATATAAGTCATTGCTATATATATAGAAGTGTTTCAGATTTGTTTTTAGAACGCAGTACCCAGTTATAATAAATTATATTGAAGCATCAGTTGGATCTGAGTTATGGCTTTTTATTGCTACGAAAATATAATATAAATCAGCTTTTTACTGAAGTATGATCTTTGTAATAGGTAAGCGTGGATTTCGTTTTAGTAGAAGCTTTTCAAAGGATTGAAAACCTTAAAATTACTTAATTTCGAATCCAGATGTTTGAATATAGATATAGATATAAAATACTGTGAAATTCAGTAGTTGCATCAGTAAAGTCGAATTTCAAAAGATTTGGGGTTGGATTTTGGGCCAAAATCAAAAATATTTTAAACCGTGGGCCTATTATTAATTTTCATAATCAAGTGTTAATTCTATAAGTAATCTGTAAGTTGATAAAATATTTGAATTTTACTCTTGTGGTATTTGAATTTTATCTAACACTGCTCTAGTGCCCATTGAGGCTGTTGTATAATGGTTGATTTTACTAATCAACATATTGGAGGCAACAGACGGAGTATTTCATTATGTAAATGACATTTGGCACTCTTTAAAAGCAATACTTGGTTTCGACAAATCAGTCCGTTCGTGTACCTTTAGATTCATCAGCGATTAGGTTGTTTAAAAACTATCATAGGGAGCTCGAGAGTGATCTTGAATAGTTTGGGATTTTTTTTATTATATGTAATACTGATTGTCAATTTTCCCAAATGACACTGAAGCTACTCCGCACCGATGGATGGTAAAATTTAGAACACTTGATGTCCTTTTATTTCTATGTTATCGTTGTATTCTAATAATCTTTCTAATGAATCAGATGTTTTTTTTACTTTTATTCAAAGCTAGCACGGACATTTTCGCTATGCTCTTTTTTGTGTTCGTTCAGCAAATGTGTATTTTACAAGTCAAGAAAGATAACTCTGGTACATTTAAAGAGAAAGTTTTTTTACAAAACGAAAACCCCAGTTTAAATCTTTATGAGTGGCGTTAATGATTTCGTTTCACAAAAGTTTGTCTGGTATTGTTCATTATTAATTATTTAATGACTGATACATGAAATATAATTAGTTTTTCCTGTGTCGTCATTTATAGCTACATTTGATTACAGACTTTAGTCCGTTCTTTCGACTACCAATACCACTGTCATATCCCCTTATTGCATGATTCTGACAGAATATTCAAAATGCCATCTATAATATCATCCTCTGTGACTAAGTGACTGCTAAATAGAGTCGTTCAACTCTCTTTGCTTTAGTTTTCTCAGATGCGTTTACGGATCATGTATGTATTTTACATGGATCAATACATACATATTCATTCTCACAAGTTTAAAATGACATAAAAGTCATACATCAATTGGAAATTAATAATTTTACCTTCTTCCCAGTCAAAAGATAAATAGATAGTAAAACCATTTAAACGATCTCACTCAATTTTCATATGAATAATGTTGTTTTTTTTAGATAAACGAAAGATATTATAGTATTGGTATGTGCTGCTTGAAATCATAAATGATATTTATGTATTTAAATCTATGTAATAGTCCAATCATATGTAATTACCATGGTCCATTATATGTTCTGTCTCTTCCGTACTTAGTCATGTAAGGATAAGTTTCACATGATTATTAAATAATATAAACAGTTCATGTAAAATATTCTCACGAGACTGTCAATGATTCAGTTACATATTTTATTTGTAAAAGTGATATCAAGTTATCTATCTGGGCGTATTAAAGCTTTTTGGAATGTTATTCTTTTTGACTCTACATTTTATCATCCCCATAGTAATTAAGTTACGGAGAGGACATTGTAACGGGACTTTCTGTCTGTCCGTTACGCGTCCGAAACACACTTGTTGACATCGTAGAGGTTGCGTTTCTCAACAGATCTTCACTATACTCCTGAACATATTGAATATAATTGACTGTTATAAGTTGTCCCTTTGTTGTTGATACATTTTCTCCGTTACCGGGTATAACATTTACGAGAAACACGTCTAGTGTCTTGTCAGAAGCTAGTACTGCATAGCCTGTCGTAGCACTTGCGTTTAAGGGTGTCAGTTTTTACTCATATAACTTTGGTTTTCTATGAGAAAATTGCCCTTTTCTCTTGTCCCCGGATTTGTTATTGTTTCTTGATTTTCCCTTTTGTTGATCTACGCTTCAGATTTCTACTCTTATCTAGTTTCACTATGCTTCCCAATTGACTTTTTTATTTCACCTCTGACCAAACATAGGGGGGCTGTTGGATCCAATTATATAAGTAAAACCCCCGCCGAATATGTTGGTCAATGGTATATTCTTTTCTCGGAAGAATTTTATTTTACAATATTATGCTGTGGCATTGGATTTGATCTCTTTTTTTTTGTCGGGGCCGATCAGATCTCGCTGCTTGGTAATGATTACCCGACAGTATTTAAGATCACGCGATAACTCTTAATCTGTTTTATGTGTTGCATTGTGTGATTTTATGCCTTATTCGTGCCGTGTCCATAACCCGTGTCTGCCTTTTCCCATTATTGTCAAAGTCTGTTATGTGCTTTTGGAATTAAAAACAAAATATAACCAAAATATGAAATAAGACATTCGCTTTATCTAAATGATCTGTACAACTTGTCACTAAGTACAGATTTAAATTGAACATAGTATGAGTGAATTAAAAAAAATCTGCTAAGTACGAAGGAATCTTGAGACAAAAAATAACGGATTTTGTATAGAAATGTGCCGCCCATGTCAATAGACATAAAACAATTTGTCTGTTTAAATATTTACTACTTTTATTTTACTAGTTTAAAGTAGCTTTAATTTCATCTTCTAAAAATATCCCTTTCATTCATTCGTGTGGGTCTGGATGGGATCCCTATTCTGTATTCTCTTACTTTTTAAGCCATTTTCTATTTCTATTATTTTGCCCATTGTTCTCTATTCTTTAGTTTTTTTTTTTGCCTTTTTTTCTCTATTCTTTATTTTTTTGCCCCATGATTCTGTAGTATTGGTCCATTTATGTCTATTCTGTAAACCCCATCAAGACCCTCATTCATACTCAATTCAAAAATATAATTAAAGAATTTAAATCAGTAAATGGTTTACAACAAACAAACAATATAGTTGTGGTAAATACATATAGGCAACAAAAAAATCCTTTCAATTCAGTTACGGGTAACCATTATATACAACCATGCATTACTTCTTTGAGACGACCACTTACATCTTACCTGTCGTAGTCGTTGTCAACTGTAGGTGTAGACAATTGTTGAAAAGGTCTAATACTATTGAAGTTGGTTGCCTTTTAATTAGCAAACTAACTACTAACACAATTCTCATTTGCTTGTACCAAGACCTAGTGTAACACATACGTATGTGAAGGTCACCTAGCTCTTCAAACGTTTAACGGACACTACCCTGATTTGTTCACCGTTATACTCACGTATGTATTACACTAGGTCTTGGTACAAGCAAATGTGAATTGGCACCAGATGTTACTTGTCAGGAGTAACACGGCGCGTGCCATTTCTAGTGTAGAAACGGCTTACCTTTCCGGGGCACCAAATTTCACCTCCCCGGGTATTGATGGACTTCATTTTGGTCAATCTTTAGATGTTGTGGAGAAGTGTTTGTCTCCTTGTTCCTTTTTTTTGCAATGGTGTTGTTTTCTTTTCATCTTGGTATCTTATTTCCCTTTCTTTTATTTTGAGCGTCCATGCTGAAATGACAGGATAAAAACAACATTCGCTTTGCTACGAAACTGCAGAGTTGCCGATGAATGAGTATTCAAAATTCGTAATATATTAGTGCATTAAAAAAAGATGTATTCATGGAAGTTTTGTTATCTCCAAACTTCAGCATGTACAAAACTTAATAACGTATGCAAAAAATGCAAATGGTTATCATGTAACGGACGCTCTCACGATTGGTCGTTTTCGGCTTACGAGTTTGACTATCCCTTATATCAGTTGATAAAATTTCTAAATATCAGTTCCGTGATTCTAATGTTTTCCAAAATTTTCATCATATGTACTTAAATTGCAACTATCAGCAATATTAACGAAATTATAATTTGGTTACATATCAATTATACGAGATGATGATGTCAGAACAACAGAAAACACACATGAATGTGCTACAATTTTAATAGCCTCGCTTTGAAAATAAATGCAACGAAAACCAACCCTTTATTCTTTAATCAGACTATATTTATAATAATCCATGAAGAAAAGGAAAACGTTATACTTTGAACATGCACAGGTAGTATGATTTTAAATGAGACAACTATCAACCAAATTGAATAGATTTAAGCATCAAAGATTAGTTAGCTTTTATTCAATTTTTAGCAGAATTCCGACAAAAATTTCAGCAACTTTTTCGCCAACTTAAGTTGTCTGCATAATTTTATATATTCAATGTTGATAGACTTATTTTTATGAATTCCACAATAACTCTAGTGCAAACCTTGAACTAGATAAGAACTGATGTGATCATTTTTATCATTTTGATTTTTCGTATATATTTATTGTATTTCTCGTCTTTTCGTCTAGAACTATAATACTGAAAACTTTTTTTATAATTATTTTAACTGTAGGAACCATCGTATCCACTCTTTTTCAAAAGAAACTATAAGTACATGAATAAATTACGTTCTGACAAAACTCGCTTGTTAATGGCACTGCAAACTAAATGCTATTATTTTCACATTTTAATAATAAAAATATATATTGCACACATTTGACAACAAAATAACAAAAAATATATATATGTAAAACAGAGTTGCACAATTACACTTGATCCATTGCAGTTTACTTTCTAGACATTTGTTATACTTGATTCATTGCAGTTTACTTTCTAAACATTTGAAATGTCAAGCAAACGAGGGACTTCCATTTTCTTACAAAACATTCAGTAATCGTTTTTGAAGCTATTTAGCAATAAGAAATTAAAACATTATTTTTACATGGTGTGTGTATATGTGTTTCAAACATATGACATATACATGTACATGTATTATGTTTCAGGTCATGCGCCATGAGTGTTTCTTCCATTCATTTCCCATACAATGTTAATAAATTATAGATAAACATTTGCATTTAGATTTTTTAAGTTCACCGTCGTGTACAAACTAACTACGATGATTTGATCTTAACTATTTTCGTTGGTCATGAGTCGATGTATAAATAAAAAATACACAAAATTACTTCATAAATTTCAAATATCTGATTCAGTATTTCATAAGATTGTAAACCTTCGTATACCATATTTGAAAGAAAAGAATTCTATTCATAGGCTCGATAAAGTGTTGATTGGTATTGACATGGCTTGGACGTTTGCGTTGTGAAATCTAGTGTAGGGGAATTTGAATTCATTTCTACGTTCCTATCGCATTATCCCCATTATATATTTTAGTTTTATCTGATTGTGTCTCAGATTTCCACAGGGCTATATTCTTTTGCAGAACACTTTCAAAGAAACTGTCGTCCAGTCCCACAATACTGCCGTGACTGGTTCCACCGACTGGTTCCTCATACGACAGGGACCTTGGTCGATTTACTCTCTGGACGTAAAGTGGTACTGCGGAGTAACTTCCGTTCATACTGACCGACAGTAAACTGTCACTATCATCATTCGAGCAAGAATCTGTTTCATCTTCAGGGATTTCGTTGATTCCTATAACATACAAATCTCAATTATTGGACCGACAAAAGCTACATAAAAGAAAACATTATGTTTGTATTTCAGTAACATCATTGTTTAATATGATAAAAAGGAATTGTATGTAAGATTGGTGGCCTTCGGCTGTTATCTGCTTTTTGGCCGGGTTGTTGTCTCTTTGACATATTCCCCATTTCTCAATTTTAAGATGTAAATCTATACAGGTTCACCAATAAAAGACATCAACAAACGGCTATAATGATGGACAAGTTTAGACCTACCTTACAGCAATCTAGAAAATAATATTAGAATTCTAGGCATGTAATGTGAATTCCTAAATATTAAAAAAAAACAGACTCCGATACCTACTGATTCTGACCTAAACAGTCGCATAAACAAGTGTAAGAGGTAAATTATTTTTGTGAATAGTTATAGTTATACCTTCCATCAGCTCCTGTTTATTTGAACATCAAATGCAGGGAAAAGAACAAACTGAAAAAGGCATTTAATATTATCCTTGAATGTAAGAAATATGTTTGTATCTAATCCATTACAGATCACGCTATTGACCAAGAACTATTCAGAGAAATAATGTATTCAACTTCCATAAAAACAATTAATTATCATACCGTTTTTTATGCGCACAACACGTGTTTTGGAATAATCTTGTTTATGGTGTATTTACACTAAATCCGTTGCCTGTGTACTGACTATTACTTTAGTCTTGGAGAAATTATTTATTTATTAGTTGTAGTTCGCTTTCAACTAGCTTTCTGTAACTCCGAGTACTCTTTTTATCGGCGCTGTATATCTATTTTTCTTATGTTAGTTGTTTTTGTGTGTGTTTCGTACCGATCTATTGAGTTAAACCATTTGCAACTAATATTGAAATGAATGAAAAACAGACATAACATAATAAAACACTACTGCATGCACTTTGGTGTACGATATTTCTTCTAATATCAAATTCATGATAGTATTTTTAAACTTTCATTAATTGCATCTTTGTTAACATTATCGACGTATATCTGTGTTATCTAAAAAAACCAGACAAATGCGTACCTTCAAAACTTGAATTAAAACTACTAGACTGAGCTCTTAATACAGTTATATAATAAGGAACACTTTGTTGTCTGACAAGTGGTGCCCTCTTTGTTTTGTGGAAGGTTTCTGTCGGTGACTCGTCAACAGCGCTATCAGGACTAGGCGTATGTTGTTTCTGACATATTGTTTGTATAACGTCGCTGATATGAATCAGCTGTTTCAGTAAGTTAACATCTTGTTTCTTCATAGCCAGCTGAAATAATCAAAATAAAGATTTGTATCAAGTACAACAACCACGTAGATTGATTGTTGTTTGATTATGGTCCAGTGGCAAATATTCGTGAGTATTCTGCATGAAAACATATAAATAATAACTCAAAATGGTCACAGTTCTGCAATATAGATTTACAAGGACGTAGGGCGGTCAATTTGAGTTGATACTAAATATATGATATGTTGTATATGCGCAATCATTTTGCCTTACAATGAACCATTCACGGACCCATCAGAGAGTTGTAGAAATACTTCATTAATGTGCAGACAGCTGTGGCAATCTCCCTACATGAGGCTTCGAACTTTATGTACTCATTCCGACCTGATTTGGCTGCGTACTGATACATCCTGCAAAGCAAACCGGAGTCCTTATCAACGTTGGTTTTTACTTCAGAACAGAAGAAGTCCAGGTGCCCATACCCCAATCAACATTTCCCAAAAGGGGGAAGATCACGTAAAGTTCATAGTATAGTACATTGTAGTGTTAAAATACACATGGTTACTTAAAACTGGTTTATATAATATTATTTTGGTTTGAATTCTGTGCATTATTTTCCTTATAGTAACATATACATTCTAACAAATATGAAAAATTCAAAAAAGCTATCTTATCCGTCTATCTTTATTTTCAAAGTTCTAGAACTGCAACTGGAAATGACACTATTTCCTTTGCTTGGGAATTAGATTACATTTGTTGACAGGGCCTTCCTCATTAAAGTTTTCTCTTCCTAAATATGTATGAAATATTTGCCAGTGTATGTAAAGAATGTACTCTTCTAACATGTCTAAAGCCCCGTTGTCTCTATCAACATTTTCTTGCACAAGTTTTCATGGTCAAAGCTTTTTATGGACCTTTTTATAGTGACAACCGTTACACAAAAATTTTATCAAAAACTTTGCCGGATTTGGATTGAATAGAATATCATCCTATTTTTCTTGTAACGTGGATGGACTTGGACGGGAATTATCCAATCACAGTTAAGTTCCTTTTCTTTGACCAAGTTTATGAAAAACTTTGATAATGACAACCGATGACTTGGACCAAGTTTACCTTCAAATAATCTTTGATACTGACAACCGGTTTTAGGTGCCCAACATATATTGTACTAAACTTTTAAAAAAAAAAAACGTTAATGACGTTTTTTTTTAGTAAAAGTGAAAACCAAGAAAATCGAACTTTCTCTGTCTTATTTGGTCCAAAACAGTCAATTTAAGTTTTGGTGAATTTCAAAAAGCGGTTCCCTTCTTATCATCTTGACATCTAAAGTGTGACGGACGGACGGAAATGAAAATTCCTATATGCCCCCAATTTTGTTGAGCGAGTGTATAAAAGGTTGATTACTTAGACATCTTGATATGAGATCTACATCTATGTATCTACATCCTCTATTTTATATACTGCACTTTTAGTAATCTAACTTGCAATTATTTATGCCATGATTTCCAACTTTATTTTCAATTAAACCGGAAAAAACGCTATTTTTCTTTGAAAAATAGTCTATGAAATCTAATCACATGTACTTGCACTCAAATTATTTTCAATTTGTTTCCGAGGTAGTATAAATAAAACTGATTTGTACTTTAAGGAAGCAATATTTCATATATCAAGTGCTAGCATGTGTTGACAGAGGTCATGTCAATAAAACTTAATCATCACTTATATGTTGATGGGAGCCATTCTACATCAAACATTTCTTTAAAATCGTTTGCTTTGTATTCTACTGTTTGTTTACTTTTCTATATGAAACTGTGTCAGTGGGTTCAAGTTAGACACACAAGTAGTTGCATATTTAAGAAACATTTCCCATGTTTTTTTTTTTAGAAATGTGTTAGCAATCCACATGGTACAAAATAGAGTCGAAAAGCACATTTAATGATCACTGGACTATAAGAACAAATTCGTATAGTTACGTAATCATGAAGATGTAATATAGTAACTTAGAATTTCTTTTGATTTATTTCTGTAAATATTATTAACATGAAATTCTTTTTAATTAAGTCGGGCATAGAATTTAACAGTATCCATGAACCCGATTTCATGCGTACATGTAAATATATACATTTGACAAATTTATCATACATGTAATATCTGAAAGTTTTCTCAATAATTTACATGTTTTAGCGAAGAGTTTTATACTTCATATCATTACCAACCGGTAGAGTACAGTTTTGCGTATAACTAACCGGTAGAGTACAGTTTTGCGTATAACTAACCGGTAGAGTACAGTTTTGCGTATAACTAACCGGTAGAGTACAGTTTTGCGTATAACTAACCGGTAGAGTACAGTTTTGTGTATTACTAACTGGTAGAGTACAGTTTTGCGTATTGAAAAACTTTATAAGAAATATAAGTTCAAAATGAATACTAGTACAATAATAAAAAAATAATAATAACATATGTAATACAGTTGGTTTTTACTGCTCCAAACGAGGGGTATACTGGTTCTTCTCTGTCTGACCGTCTGTCCTATAAAATTTTCTTCATTTTTTTCTCAAATCAAAGCTTTCTGCAAGCTTTGTGTAAGTATATTATATCGTGATTCATTTTCACAATCAATGCTCTTCAACTTCCTAATAAACTGTTATACATAATGCCCATCATCGGGTCATGACGGGGCGAATAAACTGTTATACATAATGCCCATCATTGGGTTATGACGGAGCGAATAAACTGTTATACATAATGCCCATCATTGGGTCATGACGGGGCGAATAAACTGTTATACATAATGCCCATCATTGGGTCATGACGGTGCGAATAAACTATTATACATAATGCCCATCATTTGGTCATGACGGGGCGAATAAACTGTTATACATAATGCCCATCATTGAGTCATGCCGGGGTGGGGCCTTTTATAGCTTACTATGTACATTATACGTTATGTGTTTATGAAGACAGTTACATCCTCGTCCTTTCTCTATTTATTTGATAGTTGTCTCATCGGCAATCATACCAAATCTCAGTATGTTTATATGTTTGACTTATTAGTCACATTTTTCTCGGGGACTGTAAACCAGAGCTTCCTGAAATTTCGCTATCCTGAATGATTCGTTGTTACATTAATTGTTTGTCAACTTCCTGTTTACCGAATACTTATAGTGGAGGTATTACCAGGGAGGAGTAGCTCATAGTGCAAGTTATTTTCAACGGTATTATCTAAAACTGACTTAAAAAAATTATATAAACATAGCTGTGAACACCGAGGCAAACGATTTGTTTGGCATTTGCACGTATTAATTACCACGATTTTACATGTTATCACAAACTTAGAGATCAGCACAAATCCTTTTGTTGGTGTCTCATTACACCCGTATGTTATACCTATGGACATTTAAAATTTCAATTTGATTTTAGTTAACTTGTAAATTTGGTATTAACACATAATAAAATTCCTTATATAAGCTTTCGGGTAAGACAAGACAACAGTACTGTTGTTTCCAGAATCTGGATTCAACCAATCAAACTATAGAATTATTGATATTTCAGTACAAATAAAAGAATTAAAAAAAAAGGTAAAAGACAAAACTTCAAAATGTATACATGATATATTTAAAGTTCCCGACTTTAGCAAATTATATGAAAAAAAAACTGTAAAAAGGTAAGTTCAGATGTTAGAATTAAAACTGAATTGAAGGAATGTTGCATATTTAGGCCTGATTCGTTTTCGTATTTATGAACCATAAGATTTATAAGTACTTCGGGGGAAATGATACCCTGCTACTGAATTTAACCAGCCTATATTTCCCGTTAGTAACAAATTAATTCAAAACAATGACCTCTAACTTTTACCGTTCTTAAATTGTTTTAAAGATTGTAAACACATAAATATAACAATATTTATAGTTGAAAATTGGGTGTTCCCGGTATATTAAGATAATTGACCTGACGACCTAGATTTTAACCGACTTAATATTTAAATTTTATTCTCATTGTGATATTGTAATGTCACTTTCATTTAGTAACTTAAAAGGTTTTCTTTAGCAAAACATATTTTTCCTTATTTGCTCTCTAAACGATAATATGAGGTTTGTAGGTTGTCTGGTGCAAGACAAAACATTCCGTCCCTAATTAACTCTTTTTTTTTTAAAGTTGCACGTCTATCATCCGATCTGGTATGAACATGGATATGCTGAAATATTTGCGACTGTACGTAAAGCGATCTATCAATCTTCAAAGTATAAGATATAGATTTTTTTTTTCTATCTACGATGAATCGTAAATATTAATTACATCAATGAAATAGAGAGAGATCAGTTGAACGCACGTCGTAATTATGTTGTTATATCGTTAGACAATATGTATAGTGTTGATATATGTATACGATGTTAGGTTTTCACCACACAGATTTATTCTTACTTATCTGACTAGAACACAGAATGAAAAAAATATGTCAAATTTGGCAGACACATAATGATGGGTTCCGATATATTTATTATTAAAACCTGTAATGTATATGTTTGCGTAGGTAACATTTTTATATATAAATGATAAATCATACGTTTTACTATAAAAAGAGAATATAATTGATAATCAATACAAGTTTGTTTTTGTAAATGTCGAAAGTGACACAATATTACATATTGTTAGCATATATTATATTACAAATGAATATTAATGCACACGTATTGTATTCAGAAGTATATTGAACGATCTAGCATGACTACATTTTATACAAATTTCAGGATAACTTTTAACTTATGTTGAAGGCCATATGTGTACATTAAGATGTTTATTTAGTTGCACTTTGTTTGTAGCGGACAATCCAATATCGTCTTACTTTTTTTGCATATTTTTTTTTGTTATAAATTGATGTTCATTCCCTTGTTAATGTTGTATGTTTGTCAACTTTTGATGCATATACCAGGAAACATAATAAATACATCAATAAAAACATTAAGATGAAAAAATCAATACAAGAAAACATTCACATATGAGAAAGAATAAATGTTAAAAACATACACTAACCAGTTCCGTCTTATGACATTTCCGATTAATACTGACATTTACTAAAAGACAATTATAGTTATATGTACATTGAAGAGCACGCACCGTCTTTTCATTGATAAAAAATTGAATATATGAAAAAACATACATTAGCCAATGCCGTTTTTTGACATTTCCGATTAATACTGACAATTTCTACAGGACAATTATATTTCTATGTACATTGAAGAGCACGCGTCGTCTCTTCGTTGATAAAAAAATAAATACATTAAAAACATACACTAACCCATTCCCTCGTCTTCAAAGATTTCAGATCTTGACTTTAGATTATAAGACAATGATATTCCTGATTACATTGAAGAATATCCCTCCTTTATTATCAACAATAAATAATCAGTTAAAATATTAACTTACCAGCTCTGTCTTGAGAGATTTCAGATTGACATTGACTTTTTCTACGAGATAATTATATTCCTGAGCACATTGAAGAATACCCGTCTTTTCCATCATGAACGATTTTATCACTGCAAGGTGTGACAAGAAGTTTACTTAACTTAAAATAAATACTTCACCATGCTTAACTGTGTTGACGTTTTGTAAATACTTCAGTTTTCCAACTTTATAATTAGCAACACATTCATGTAAAGTTAAAATGGAAAGTCCTTTGTTGTGTCTCTGTCTATGCTTTTAGTTTCTCATGTGTAGATTGGATCTGATTCTGCAGGTAAAAATCGCAATATCCTTTTTCTAAAAGGAAAAATAAAACATAATCAATAAACCACGTGTTATACTCTCCACAGTTCATTCATTTAATGACTTGATACGGGCGAATGACATCATTACACTTTTATTGACTTTTCTGTAATTTTATAGGAATTTATATATCTCACTTTCTCTACTAAATGCATTAGTTAAACTATAATAGAATGTCTTCTTTAAATCATAATTATTATTAATGGTAAAAAAGTATTAAGTTGAAGTTTATTGATTTACAGTTGGTAACATTTGTTAGATATTCAACGTAAATGTATTTCTACTTGTAAAATGCATTTAGGGTTTTATAGATATGTTTGTTAATTGACTCAGAGTATTTAAATTAAATGCACGTATGTTTTAGTTGTTAAGTGAATAGTTTTATTTTTTTGTCATACAATCAATCAGTTGATATATGATGAAGACAACTCCCTTTCCTGTAAAATTAAGATCTAGTTTATGATTGCTCCTCATTATGCCTTGTAAAATATCAACGTGGTTAATAACATTATCATTTATGAAATATTAAAGAAAAAAAAAAACATTTCGATGACATGATTATTTTAAATAATGCTGGAATCATCATCACTTACATCCTATGAGTATGTAGGAAAATACCACGACACAAAGTTATTGTTAGGGTGTTGAAAAGGTACAAACATGCTAGCCTGAAATGACGGTAAAATTTGAAACATTTCTGTGTGTTATTACGTGCGGTTTCAAATTGCAAGATCACACAGACACATAAATGGCTGATTCAATTTGCAATTCGCTTAAAACATGTATTTGCCCTTGATGTGTCTTTTTCAAGAGAGAGAGAGAGAGAGAGAGAGAGAGAGAGAGAGAGAGAGAGAGAGAGAGAGAGATAATGTGTGTGTTTGTTTTTATGTTGTTGTTGTTGTTGTTGTTGTTGTTGTTGTTGTTGTTTGAGAGAGAGAAAGAGATTTTGAACAGTTCTTCAATGCTGGTCAGTGGATACAACCTAAGAAATAAAATGAGAATTATTAACTCCCTTGATGTAGACTACGAATAACTGAAAAGTCATTCGTACCATCTACTGTCAAAATATAGAATAATTCAAATCCAACTATAAGAAACGCACCAACTATCCCACAATTTAAACGAAAAATAAAGGGTGATCCATTTAAACCTCCAGTATATTATGATGAAGGGTCTAGAAAATATAATATACTGCATACAAGAATAAGGCACAAGTACAGTTCATTATATGCAGACTTAAATAAGATCAATGTGGTGAATGATTTTAAATGCTCCTGCGGTTCTCCTGTTGAAGATGCCATCCATTACTTTCTAGAATGCCAATTATATTATAACCAAAAAATATCTCTGGTTAATGATCTTATAAATATGAACATGCGCATTGATATTGAAACGCTATTGTTTGGAAAAGATGCATATAATTACGAAACTTACTCTAAAATTTTTGATAAAGTTCGTTATTTCATTAAACAGTCAAAAAGATTTTAACGTTCTAAGTCAGCAGCTTTCTTTTTTCTTTCTGTCCTATTTGATTTTTTTGTTGCCATGCCAATGCGTGACTCCTTCCTTTATTTTCTATAACTGACGCTATATTACGTATGTGTTGCTGTCATCATATATGTGTATTGTATATGTAAGGAGCTCAAGAGGACTTAATATAAGTTGTAATAACTTGTGGCCAATGCTATTGCTTGAATAATGCAATAAATATTATTAAACTAATGCTGTTAGTGTTGTCTCGTCGACGCATATTCAAAATCTTTTTTTTTTATCTTTTTTTTTTTTTTTGTTCATTTTGTTATTATGTATGATCATGTATTAAGAACCTTTCATTCTTTTGTTTTATAAGTAATAAATGCTATTTTCGTTGGTAATTTTAAGCCAAAAGCAACGTCATTCCGCTCGTCAATACATTTGTCTGTCAATTAACGTACTTATTATGGATTGTTGTATCCGTATTGCATTTTATTTATTATTCTGTGTTACGTACAATGCTATTGATTTTGGATTTAATTTCCAAGTTCCCGACCAAAATATATGTTTTATTAAGTAATTTTACATAATGAATGAAGCTATAGTCATAAAAAGAATCTCTTCCTTAATTACACTCAGAGGTACAATTAAAAAATAAGTTTCAATATGGATTAATTGATTGTTGCTTGTTTAACGTCCTGTGACATTTATTTTATGCATATTCTAGACAAGAACCATTTAACTATAGTTCTTCAATGTGTGACGACCGGGACGAAGGACAGGAATTGTAGATCCGGACTGCCAATTAAAAATAGAAAATTAATAGGTTAGACAGAAACCGTTTGCCTTGGAACAGTCCACCAACGGACCCCTAAAAAGTTGTTGCAAGGACTCTTTAACTTCAGAGAGCATGATACTTCAACTTCACGAGGCATTGGAATAAACGTCCACATGGTTGCAAATTTATACATCATGAACTTGAGCATGGGTTCTATTAACGGAACGGAAAAAATCAACTGAGTGACCATATAATTTTACCCCAGTCAACCCTTGAGATAATTCATATGTATTTACTTTCAAATATCACTAAAAATTATAATCAAAGCAGGTTTATAGTGCGATCGAGGTAACACATGATATTTTAATCTCATAAATTCTGGCGTGTATTGATAATGTCTCCCTAATAGCAGTATCAAAATTGATGCTGTGTTCCAGTGAAAGATAATGTACATTGAACATGCATAAATATATAATTTATGAAAATTATTTTACAACATTTGGCGTTTCAGATTATATCATTATTCATATAAAATTAATGTCATTCAATGCAAAATAACTTCGGTGGTAACAGACGTTAAATAAAATTTGCAAATATCATGTACATGAATCATTATGATCATAAGTGAATTATGTATAGAATATATGTATAATCACAAGAAATAGACCTTATGGCCAGTACCTCCTGCCTCTTTGTGTCTTGTCTCAAATTTGAATTGCTGTACAACTACATACGTTGGAGAGACATGCGCGAAATGCTCGATATGATGCGTGATCAGAAATGACATCAGTGATAAAGTCATCAAACACGTGATCCATAGAGTCTCTTGAAAGTCATTACTGCAACTTACACAAAAGCGAAAAAAGTGTGTACGGTGACAGAGAAAGAAACAAATCGTGCATGGATGACATAAAACATCTCTCTTTTCTTTTTTGTTTGGTCAGTTTTTCAAGTCTGCTTGCTTTTACACTTAATTCCCGTCTGTACTTAATTCCAGCTACAAAATGAATCACAAACGTTCATATTCTGCATTCTAACTTCGTAACTCCTTTGAATCTGATCTTAGTCAACAATGGTTCCCCGAAGGTTCCCTGGTATTTATATGTTTCAAAAGTAGGCAACCGCGTCTTTTTATATATTTCTATTTGATTAATAGAATTGAAAATAGAAACGGGGAATGTATATCGTATTACACTGTGTAAAGAATTTATCTTGCCAACTATCTTAACATGTGGAATTTACACTAGTGGTATATTAAAGTGATCAAGTCTTCAATATTCAGAACCTACTTTCATTGGTCTATACAAAAACAAATACCAACAATAACAATGTGTTAGCCTTTAATGTGGTTTCAGCATTTATTTTCAACCGTTTATCATCATTTTCTTCATCTGTTGTCTGGGCTATACGTTTCAGATTTTTGTGCAAGGTCGTGTTATTTTAGGTCTTTGCTGATTTTAGTCATAAATTATAGTTCGTAACAATACAGAAACAGGTCCACAATAAGTGGTGCACAGTTAGTCAACATTGCAATTCAGATGTTTACTCTTGGTTTTGGGAAGGAGTTCCCAAGTTTGAACGAACAACTGATAGAAATAAACTTCGACTGGAACAGGAACGTTTCTTGTAAAAAAATTGAACCTGTTCCTTCTATTAGAGCACAGACATGAATAAAACCACCATCAACCGGATTTTGAAATATGTGTTCAGTAATCGAAAATCATAGCGCAGACCTGAAGAAAAGCACACCGTCGGTCCCTTATAATCTAAATAAAGAAAGGGAAATCCGGTCACACATGCGTATTTTGTTTTAGTTTCCTATAGTAGATAATATTTCTCAATAAACCATTCAAGTAAAATTTGGAATCTTCTCGTCGAAATATAATTAAATTGTAGTAGCATCATATCATTCGAAATATAAAACGGAACGAAATAAAGGTGTTTGACCATATACACAGGCAAAATTTGCTCACGTGAATTTCACATGAATCTCACATGAAATTCACGTGAGATTCACCTCAAACGAGCTTATACGTGAAACTCATATCAAATCAGTTAATGTGAATTTCACGTGAATTGAGATTCACATTAATCTCACGTGAAATTTTCACATGAATTTCATGTGAACTTAACAAAAATAAAAATTGGTATTTTTTATGATTTTGATTAAATTTGAAAATTTAGATGTTATTTGAATTACGTTATTTTAAAAATTCACGTGAATTTCACGTGGAAAAAATTCATGTGATTTTCACGTGAAACTCACATGAACTGATTTCATGTGAGTTTCACGTATAAGTTCGTTTGAATTTAAATCCATGTGAAATTGATGTGAGTGAAATTTCCCTGTGTAGCATTTGCTGTTTAATTTTTATCACCCAGCTTTTATGAATTTTTCACAATTAAGTAGTATCAGTCTTCCATGACGACTCTCTTCCGTTTACCTGAGCATTTGTTTTATACAAGTGGGGCTTCCTTCGACTATAGGTTTTTCAAAATATTCTTTTTTTCGCCACATTTTTTGTGTTTGTTTCTAATTTCATTGTTAAAATGACCTCAACTACATGTCAAACATGATTGTTGCTATAACGAAAAATAATGCCTTTATATGTTATTTATGTCGTTCGGTTCCTGTCAAATTGATATATAATATCCCATACCTTCCTTTAATAATATTTATCTGTACCTACAGAGCAAATTCTATATAGAAGTGTCTCATTCTTTTCTTAAAACAGAAAATATCTCATATGTTAATATCATGGCTATTTAGAAATATTTTGAAATTCTATGTCACAAATTTCTTACTAATATTTGAACTGTGTTTTAATATAAATATAGTCATTAAATGATCAAATTTATTTTCATACTGTATGATATTCAAGTATCTGTATATAAAACTAT